CTCCTGCTGATGTCTCTACTTTAAGAGTTCCTCTCCGGCTGAGTATTCAGTGTATATCAGAGTAGTAGTGTCTCTACTTTAAAGAGTCCTCTCTGCTGATGTTCAGGTGTATATCAGTAGGTAGTGTCTCTACTTTAAAGAGTCCTCTCCTGCTGATGTTCAGGGTGTATATCAGTATGTAGTGTCTCTACTTTAAAGAGTCCTCTCCTGCTGAGGTTCAGGTGTATATCAGTATTAGTGTCCTCTACTTTAAAGAGTCCTCTCCTGCTGATGTTAGGTGTATATCAGTATGTAGTGTCTCTAGTTTAAAGAGTCCTCTCCTGCTGATGTTTTAGGTGTATATCAGTATGTAGTGTATCTACTTTAAAGAGTCCTCTCCTGCTGATGTTCAGGTGTATATCAGTATGTAGTGTCTCTACTTTAAAGAGTCCTCTCCTGCTGATGTTCAGGTGTATATCAGTATATAGTGTCTCTACTTTAAAGAGTCCTCTCCTGCTGATGTTCAGGTGTAATATCAGTATGTAGTGTCTCTACTTTAAAGAGTCCTCTCCTGCTGATGTTCAGGTGTATATCAGTATGGTAGTGTCTCTACTTTAAAAGAGTCCTCTCCTGCTGATGTTCAGGTGTATATCAGTATGTAGTGTCTCTACTTTAAAAGAGTCCTCTCCTGCTGATGTTCAGGTGTATATCAGTATGTAGTGTCTCTACTTTAAAGAGTCCTCTCCTGCTGATGTTCAGGTGTATATCAGTATGTAGTGTCTCTACTTTAAAGAGTCCTCTCCTGCTGATGTTCAGGTGTATCAGTATGTAGTGTCTCTACTTTAAAGAGTCCTCTCCTGCTGATGTTCAGGTGTATATCAGTATGTAGTGTCTCTACTGGGACATGTCTCCATGCTTTAATGTTCAGCTGCAGCACCTCTTTTCACCCTCTGTCTGAAACCAGAGCCCAGTCTGCTCCAATGGTCAGCTGACCATCTCTGTTGTTATTGGTCAATGCTTAGAGATGTCCCGCCCCTTAGCCTATCACGTACAATGTGTTGGAGCGCTAGCCAGTAGGAGCGCGAGTGGTGTAGAGAAATTAAGAGGATTTTAGCCTTTGCAGACCATTTACATGCACTAAAACCTATAGAACGCTATAGGAACACCCAAAAAAGCACAACATGTCCCCTTTAAGTATTACATAATACAAAACAATGAATAGCTGCAGCAAAGTGTGCTGTACTCAGTACATGCTTCATTAAAGGGAAACAAAACACACACTTAGTTCAATTAAAAGTGATTTTCTTGCAAATGAATTGCCACAGGCTAACAGCGGCGTTCTCGTTCCTGCACACGGTGTAATTGCTCTGTTTCCCTACTTGTCATTTTCTTAATTATTTCATAAACAGCACAATTATTTCATTATTGCTTCCTGCAGATGCGGTTTGCCTTTATGGAGATAGCATCATGAAGCTACATGAGAATAGGGTCTTATAGAAACAGTTCTGGTTGTCAAAATGCATAGTTCAGTGCTGAGCAACAACTCCAATGGATAGAAAACTAAATAATATATTATCAGTTTTCCTCAGATGCTAGCGAGAATAAAAACAGTAGATAAACAGATCAAATGTGATTGTACGGCGGGGCAAAGGAACAATCTGCTTGCTCAAAGTGGCGCTGCTCTCGGCAGGTAAACATTATCTCCTCACACGTTCACACACACACACACACACACACACACACATTTCCCTGTCCCTGTCACTCGCTGTGTGATCCACCTGGAGCTAACAGATAATCTACTTTTCCATTTGCACCCTCTCACCTTCATAATTAGCACTCCCTTAACAATTAGCAGCAGCCGCTAATTACTGCAGTTGTGTTCAGGATACCTGCTGCAGCCTGCATCTTGACACTCGCTTCAACACTGTTCTCATAATGGCTCTGCTACTTTTCCTCACCGCTGCCTATTTTATTCAACTAATTCAAAATTAATATAAACAGTCAATCAAGGTTCATGAAAACATGGTTGAAGTAGGAGGACAGAAAGCTGGTTAAGCCATGAGACAAAAAACACAAGCTGAAGAGATTTTAACGTTTAGATCAATGACATAGAATACGTAAATAAGTCATGTGACCGAGCTGTAGTTCCTTTATAGCCCAACATTAGCCGCCTTTAGCTTAGCGGTGGTGACGTGAAGTCATGTGACCGTGCTGTAGTTCCTTTATAGCCCAACATTAGCCTCCTTTAGCTTAGCGGTGGTGACGTGAAGTCATGTGACCGTGCTGTAGTTCCTTTATAGCCCAACATTAGCCGCCTTTAGCTTAGCGGTGGTGACGTGAAGTCATGTGACCCGTGCTGTAGTTCCTTTATAGCCCAACATTAGCCGCCTTTAGCTTAGCGGTGGTGACGTGAAGTCATGTGACCGTGCTGTAGTTCCTTTATAGCCCAACATTAGCCTCCTTTAGCTTAGCGGTGGTGACGTGAAGTCATGTGACCGTGCTGTAGTTCCTTTATAGCCCAACATTAGCCTCCTTTAGCTTAGCGGTGGTGACGTGAAGTCATGTGACCGTGCTGTAATTCCTTTATAGACCAACATTAGCCGCCTTTAGCTTAGCGGTGGTGACGTGAAGTCATGTCACCGTGCTGTAGTTCCTTTATAGCCCAACATTAGCCGCCTTTAGCTTAGCGGTGGTGACGTGAAGTCATGTGACCGTGCTGTAGTTCCTTTATAGCCCTACATTAGCCACCTTTAGCTTAGCGGTGGTGACGTGAAGTCATGTGACCGTGCTGCAGTTCCTTTATAGCCCAACATTAGCCGCCTTTAGCTTAGCGGTGGTGACGTGAAGTCATGTGACCGTGCTGTAGTTCCTTTATAGCCCAACATTAGCCGCCTTTAGCTTAGCGGTGGTGACGTGAAGTCATGTGACCATGCTGTAGTTCCTTTATAGCCCAACATTAGCCGCCTTTAGCTTAGCGGTGGTGACGTGAAGTCATGTGACCATGCTGTAGTTCCTTTATAGCCCTACATTAGCCACCTTTAGCTTAGCGGTGGTGACGTGAAGTCATGTGACCGTGCTGCAGTTCCTTTATAGCCCTACATTAGCCACCTTTAGCTTAGCGGTGGTGACCGTGCTGTAGTTCCTTTATAGCCTAATGTTAGCTTCTTACTTAAAAAATCATAAAGAGGTGTTGATATGTTGAGATTATGCCGCTGAACAAAAAGTGTAAGCATCATGAACGTGTGAGATTATTTTCTGCTATAACCCAAAATCACATGGAGAAATCCAATTGGCTTTCCTTATGGAGGGAAACGTCATCTCTGCATCTCTCTATATTTGAGCGGCTGGCAAAGGGCCAGCGTAAACGACAGCCTGCATTTAGTTTCTTTTTAAATGTTTGTGCACATGGAGTCCGTGTTGACGGCTGTCTGCTCGGATATTCCTCCATCTGTCTGTGTGACGGCGGCTCGCTGCCTGCAGCTGTAAACACTAGTTATTTTCAGACTGTCTTTAAAAGGCTTCACTCACACACACACACACACACACACACACACACACACACTCAGGGACTCTAAGAGCTCCTGGTTTATCCTCGTTTCTCCCACCAGCGCTGCACTCCACTTGCAATATGAATAACTGTAATTCTCTGAGGATCTGTGATCAAGGTTTCAAGAGCGACTGCAGAGATGCTGCTCCTTTTTACACGACATCTTTTACTCACCAGTGCTTTGTTCTTTCCTCATGTGTTTATTTCCCTCTCTTAACCTATGGTTCTCTGTGTTTTCAGACCCCCACAGTGTTAGGTCTGTCCCCCAGCAGAGGGCCTGAGTCGGGGGGAACCAAAGTCACCGTAATGGGGGACAACCTGGGGGCAGGCAGCAGCGTCAACGTCCAGTTTGGAAACCAGACGTGCGAGTTCTTCGGGTGAGGCTCTCCTCGTGAAATCATTTATTTAAAGCTTGTCCTATAAAGTGATGAAACACGTGGTGATCGCGCTTTTGTTTAACACAGACCGTTCATGGAGAAAGGCTTTTATCACACATTAAGACGAGGTGGGAAGGAAAGTGCAAATGAAAAACACACATTGTCCTTTGAAGCATTAGAGAGTCATGTAGATGTGAGGAAGTGAATGAAACTGTTTAACTGACATCTACATTATTAAGAAACAAAAGACAGGAGCGCTTAATGGCATTTGTTTTTGTACCTTCATGGTTGCAAGTTGTCAAATATTTCTTTTTTTGAATTTACAACTTCTTCAACATTAAGGCCGTTCTCATTTCGATCGCTTGTTCCGAATCAGAGTGAAATTGTTACTTTGGTTCTTACGCCTTTTATTCTGGATTGGTTTCACAGTGCACAAATGAAATCCAAATAATAATGTTTCTGACATATTATACTAAATCAGGGGTGTCAAACTCAATGTCATCGCGGCCACATTCGCATGAAGGTTGCACTCAAAGGGCCGGTTGTAACTATATAAATATATAATATATATATATATAAAATAATGTATTATATGACATTATTGCTTCTGAATTGGATTATTATCGGATAGGATAATAACTTAGTAATTAACTACGTCTGAAAGCAGAAGTCCAGGGCAAATAACTGCAAGTCTCTTCAGTGCCATGTCACAAAACGAGATGCATTGTGGGACATGTAGTTTATGGGCAACCTGCTTCTGTAAATCGGCCTGGAACCGTATAATAAACGTATTATATTCTTTGCAAGCTCTTGCGGGGCCACATGAAACGAAGTCGCAGGCCGGATTTGGCCCCCGGGCCTTGAGTTTGAGACCCCTGTACTAAATATATATTTGTATCTGTATTGTTTAAATATTTTGTTTTGTTTTTAACATACTTTTTTTTTTTTTTTTTTTTTTTTTAAATCAATATTGCATTTTGGACCAGTGCAATAGCCATATCAGAGGAAGCTAAATAATTATATTAAAGGTAAAGCATTTCTCAATTAGTGCTCTGTGTTGCTGCATCTTTATCGCATACCCACGTAAAGTACAACAACCTTCATTTTTTACTTACTTGAGTAAATATACCTTCATCCCACCACCGATTAAAACCGACTATATGTTGTCTTCTGGAAGCACCCTTCACTTCAGATAAATATAACAATATTTGAGTCTCTTTGCATGTTTTACGTTGTACATACATCACTGTCAGGAAGCATTAGATATGCAGCACTGAGAGCAAATGAAAGGTGCTCTTGTTCCCTGGATGAAACGTATAACTCCCATTACAGAAGCAGCTCTATTTCACAGCGTCTCCCTGAGAGACCCCCGAGGGGAGAGCCTCTCACAAACTTGTGTAAATCTTAATAAGGTTTTGATGACCTGCTGCATTAAAGCCTGTAATAATAGCTCCTAGAAAAGCCCGCTGCGCCTATGGAGCTTCTTCTTCTTCATCTCCCCCCAGCCTCCATATCGCTCTGCTCTGTTTTTAGTCTCCTCCCTTCCACTCCTCACCTCTGAATTTTTCTATTTTAATCGCGGCTCTCTGACTGTAATGTTGTAAGGTCAGCTTTAATGAGACACCAGGCTAATTACTGGGTTCTGGTTCTCCGCTGTATTCCTGGTGCTCTCGCTGCTAATAAATTAGGACACATTCGTGGGGGGTGAGAGGGAGGGGGGGGGGGGGCACAGCAGCGGGGAAACTCTGATAAATGTTCCATGTGTAAGGGGTTTCAATACAAATCTCTTTTTAGTGTCCCCATGTCTCCCAGCTGTGTACGTCACTCTTAAGTGTCCCCTGGTCTCCCAGCTGTGTGCGGCACTTTTTAGTGTCCCCTGGTCTCCCAACTGTGTGCGTCACTCTTTAGTGTCCCCTGGTCTCCCAGCTGTGTGCGTCACTCTTAAGTATCCCCTGGTGTCCCAGCTGTATGCGTCACTCTTTAGTGTCCCCTGGTCTCCCAGCTGTGTGCGTCACTCTTAAGTGTCCCCTGGTCTCCCAGCTGTGTGCGTCACTCTTTAGTGTCCCCTGGTCTCCAGCTGTGTGCGTCACTCTTTAGTGTCCCCTGGTCTCCAGCTGTGTGCGTCACTCTTTAGTGTCCCCTGGTCTCCCATCTCCCATCATTTTGTTTTTGCAGCTTTTAGTTTCCTCAAGTTGGTGAAGATGTTTCTTCATGTGTTTTGGGACATTTGTGTTTTTATATCCGCATGGTTTTTGGATTTGTAGCGCAGTTCTCCTAACAGCTATCCATAATGCAAATAGACCATGATCAAGTTATTGTTTCCTGGAAGTTGTCACTGTGTTAAAGTCCCGTATTGTCTCATCCCACTCGACACATGTTTATGTTTCAAATATTTGTATTGAGAAGAAGGATACAAGTGTAAGCAATAGTACAGACTTCTTTGGGGAGGACATCATGCTTCTTTCAACATAGAAGACAAACAGAACCGCCAACAAGAAATAATAATGAAAAAATAAAGCATGAAAACAGTACGCGACACGTGTTTAAATATAGTTTCCATTGTGCTCCCCTGCAGGCGGACGATGGCGGAGATCGTGTGTTACTCCGCCGTCTCGCTGGCGGGCGTGGGTCCGGTGCAGATCAGTGTGAGCGTGGACCGTGCTCAGATCAGAGAGAGCCTCACCTTCGAGTACATCGAGGATCCCACCGTGCAGCGCATCGACCCCGACTGGAGCATCGCCAGGTAAACACACACCAACACACACGTAGGCTGTCCCACGACCTCGTTTAAAAACAAAAAAGGTGACTGTTCTTTTGGACTAGTGGCTCCAACACTATGGAACTCTCTCCCCATAGACATCCGCTCTGCAGTCTCTGTAGAAGCTTTAAAGGTCCCCTATCATACTGTGTTTCATCAATATATCCCAGGTCTCAGATAAATCCAGAGCCTGTCTCTGATTGGCTGAAACACCAAACACCAAACAGATCATTGCAGCATTACCCATAATCCCCTCTGTTTCAGCCCTGTTTCCAAAAGTGCTGATTCTCTGTCTGTTACTTTAGATCAGGGGTGGCCAACCCGCGGCTCTCGAGCCGCATGCGGCTCTTTGCCTAGTTTCATGCGGCTCTTCAGTTCATATCGAATTGTATAGCCTATGTGTGAGTTTGGGGGAGAGACACTGACTCCTGACTAGTGTTGCACGGTGTACCGATACTTGAAAGGTACCGCGATACCCTGCCGTTAAAAACGTTACGATTCCTCCGTTTCATTAGTATCGGTACTTTAAGAATGACGGGGAAAAGTACTCCGGTGAGAAAGCGCCGTTTTAATAAGAGCCGTGTGTGTTCAGCGCTCTGCTTCCACTCCCTGCACTGCAGCCGTGCCTGCAGTCCCTCCCCTCTCAAGCACGCTCTAAGTCCCTCCCCTCTCTCGTGCACGCTCTAGCTGCCAGAGCATGTGAGAAAACGAGAAGCATGGCTGCAAGTGGGAGTGCAACTGCCGCTGCGCCTCGGCTTGTTGACAAAAAAGACAACAGAAGCGACATTTGGAAGTATTTGAGCTATATCTCTGACAGTGAGGGCAAGCCTACGGACACCACGAGGCCTGTCTAAAGAAATGTATTAATTGTATTTAATACGAATTCTTGTCATTTATTTTATTTATTGTTCTCATTGTTTAAAAGTGTGTGTTATGGTTCTGGTGTGAAATAAAGCACAATGAATTACATTTAATACGGTTTCCCTTTTTTTAAGAAAAGAATCGGAATCGCAATTCTTGACTTGGTATCGAAACCAAAATGTTGGTATCGTGACAACACTAGCTACTCCTGACAGTTAAACCTGATATTTAGTAGTCTGTTAAGTATTGAATGCTGATAATTCTGACGTAATTTGGCCGGTCAAAGTTGTTTGGGCTCGGATAAAATCGCTCCGTTACTTTCGTCCCGTGTTACTTTCGTCCCGTGTTACTTTCGTCCCGGCTCTCCCTACGTGTGTATGTGTGGTGTCAGGTGTCAGTATGAGAGGATGACAGCGCATCTAAATTTGATGTGGCCCAAGAGCCAATCACAATAATACCTGCAATGCAGTGAACCAATCACTTTTTGAGGGGGGGAAACCTATCGTTGATTAAACACTATCCAGTGTTTCCCCTACCATTGTCTTGGAGGGGCGCTGCGCCCCGCCAACAGAGCCCCGCCCCCCCCCTGAAATTCAAGGTGTTTAAAAAATATATATAATTTTTTTTTTTAATATATATATAGCACCAAATTCCAAATAATCTATAACTACTGTCACGTTTCACATTGAACATGTGCTCTTTTATTAAATAAACTAAACGCTTTCATTTTAAGTTGTGAGTTTATTGTTTTTGACCCTAAGAAACACTGATGCATTAATCAATAACAATAATACACAGCTCCTCTCTCTGCTCCTGAGGATTTAAAAAATATATATCCCAATGCCACAAAAATGCATCAGTGACGTGGTTGAAATCTTGTCTCCAGAAAACAAAAAACTGAAACAAGCGGTATCAGTGACTGTGTGTTTGATGTGGCTCTTTGCAGTAACATAGAAAAAATGTGGCTCTTAACCTCTGACTGGTTGGCCACCCCTGCTTTAGATGAAAATAAGGAGCCCCTCCCCACGCCCCTCTGAGAGACATTTGGTTACAAAGAACTCAATGGAGCTCTAGGAGGAGATCCAGGTGATAAGGGGGGGGGGGGTTACCTTGGTTGCTGATTGGCTAATGGTTACACAAGACAACACATCATTATGACATCATAAAGTGGCCAAAATCTGATCAGCTCATTTTCAGACAGGTTTTTATAGAAATGGATCAAAAAGAGAGAGAATCTTTGTTCCTGAAACTTTCAGAGTCTCTTTCCACAGAGGGGACACATGTTGATGCAGAAGAGACATGAAGAAGAGGGGACACATGTTGATGTAGAAGAGACATGAAGAAGAGGGGACACATGTTGATGTAGAAGAGACATGAAAAAGAGGGGACACATGTTGATGTAGAAGAGACATGAAGAAGAGGGGACACATGTTGATGTAGAAGAGACATGAAGAAGAGGGGACACATGTTGATGTAGAAGAGACATAAAGAAGAGGGGACACATGTTGATGTAGAAGAGACATGAAGAAGAGGGGACACATGTTGATGTAGAAGAGACATGAAGAAGAGGGGACACATGTTGATGTAGAAGAGACATGAAGAAGAGGGGACACATGTTGATGTAGAAGAGACATGAAGAAGAGGGGATACATGTTTATGAAGAAGAGACATAAAGAAGAGGGGACACATGTTGATGTAGGAGAGACATGAAGAAGAGGGGACACATGTTGATGTAGAAGAGACATGAAGAAGAGGGGACACATGTTGATGTAGAAGAGACATAAAGAAGAGGGGACACATGTTGATGTAGGAGAGACATGAAGAAGAGGGGACACATGTTGATGTAGAAGAGACATGAAGAAGAGGGGACACATGTTTATGAAGAAGAGACATGAAGAAGAGGGGACACATGTTGATGTAGAAGAGACATGAAGAAGAGGGGACACATGTTGATGTAGAAGAGACATGAAGAAGAGGGGACACATGTTGATGTAGAAGAGACATGAAAAATGTGTGTTCCTTTCGGGACTCCACGTGGTCTAAATGTTGTTTTTATGTTGACCTTAATTTCTGCCTCGTGTTGTTATGGCGCATTTCCACTGCAGCGGGTAGCCCCGTTTAAGCGTCCTTAACCGTCCTCAAGCGGCCAGGCCAGTTTTTGGTGGCCTTTCCATATAGCCTAGTACCGGCTAGCGGGTACTTTTTCTCTCTTTTTCCGGCCTCATAAAATCGTGGTTCCCTCAGACCAGGGCCAGGGCTGAACTAGTGACGTCAACACTCTCGACTGCTGATTGGTCAGAGAGAATCGTCACAATATCGCGCGCGAGTTCATCCCTAGCGTCGCATATATATCTAGAAGCAAGCTTGCAGCATGTTTATACACAGCATTTTGTAAACGGAGGAGCTACAAAAATGGCTACGTCTGATAAGAAAAGCACACCGTGGTCGACCGAGGAGGTGACGACATTCCTTCATCTCATTGGGGATGATCAAATCCAGCGGGAGCTCGACGGAACAACTCGAAATGTGAAGCCGATCGCCCCGCCTACACTGCGTTGCTACCCCAGGTCCTAAACTGTAATGGAAATGCGCCACGGCCACGGACGGCCAGCGAGGCAGCCCGAGGCCTGAGCGAGGACCCTTAGGGACGCTTAAACGGGGCTATCCCGCTGCAGTGGAAATGCGCCATTATTGTAGTCTTAATTTTAACTTCTGTTCTTTCTTCTGAAGCACGTATTTCTGTGAAAGAAGCTACACTAAATAAACATATTAATTATACACACTCCACACACTGGACCCCCCCCTCCTCCCCCCTGCAGAGCTTTAGATCTGTGCAGCAATAACACACACACACACCTCAATATTCCACTTTCAATTACTGCTCGCCTTTCTGCCAATTAGTGAAGATCTGATAGAAGAGCCACAGATATCAGACTGAGGAGAGTTTCTGTAGAGATGGAGAATCTCCAATCCATCTAGTAACCTCTAGAGACACACACACACACACACACACACACACACACACACACACACACACACACACACACACACACACACTACTAATTGAAGGGAAGATGAAACAGCAGCTGAGGTAGGCAGGTAGATACAATGACAGATATTTACATACATGTTTTGATTCACATTTTCAGTTGCAAAATAAAAAACACGTTTTTCCTCTTGGCTGCGTTGTGGAAGTTGGTGAAGGGATAAAAGATTGATGAGACATTGCGTTGCATACAAATGACAAATATGAAGGATTTCAACCAATTTGTATGACATTTGTATCACCTTCGAGGTCCGACAAGTGTCGTCTGTGCAAACAGTTCAACCCACTGCCTTTCTTGATGAACAAGTAATCAATATTCATTACATGTCGCTTGTTAGACGCTTTTATCCAAATACTGTGGGCAATCCCCACAGGAGCAATGTGGGGTGAAGTGTCAGGGACACAACGACATGCTGACTGCAGTGGGGTTTGAACCCGTGACCCCCTGAACACATACGCACAACCCACTGCGCCACACACCTCATAAAAACAAGCTTTCATTTGAACTTACTTTTGCAGATGTTCTCAACGTGTGGTTAAAGTTATCAATACATTTGATTGGACAGCACAGCGTCTACAGTACCTCACTACCCGCCATGGACCCATCGGACTTTCATTACAACAACAACAACAACTCTTTAGAGCAGTGCTTCTCAAACCAATGTATCCCCTTTGAAACATCTTCTCAGCCAAGTACCCCCTGACCGACGACCCCCAACATTTTTGATAGAAAAAGCCTATATAAATAATTACAATATAGTGATGTTCCATCAGTGTGTGATTTATTAACTCCTTCATGCATGAATTACAACTAAGTAAGGATATGTTCTCCTTTATGCATGAAAAAAAGACCACATTTTTCCAAGGAGTTTTTCAATTGAAGTAAATCGAAATGATATATTATGAAAAACTATAAAATACAATACACACATTTGAAATGTGTGTATGAGGACCCCCTTGGTGGTTCTAGGAATATTTTAAATACAATTGTGTTTTCTATATAACTTGTTGTACTAAGATTATTTTTGTAATCATGCATGCTATTTTTTTAATTAACTTTTTTCATTTTGTATCTCACGCACCCTCTGCAGTACCCCAACGTACCCCTAGGGGTCCACGTGCCCCCATTTGAGAAGCACTGCTTTAGAGCAGTGATTCTCAAACTTTTTTCAATAATGTACCGCCTTTCAGCCAAGTACCTCCTGATCAGCGCAAAAACTATTTGTTGGGGGAAAAAAGCCTATATAAAGAGGTACAGTACAGCGCTGCACCATCAGGTGTCTGATTTATTAAAACAACAACAGTAACTGAGAAACACTTAAATGCTACATTTCAAATGTTTACAATCCATCACTAAATTCATAGAAACCAATTTTAATATCATGCAATAACACTAAGACGACATTAGTTGCATTGAACTGATCTTTTTAATAAGTTGTACTTACAATGTAGTGAAACATGGGCTCGTGCTTCACTGAGGATCTTTGTCATTCTGACAGGGAGGCCACTGCAGTTATTACACTTCGCGTTTTGAAATATGTGACTCTGTTAATATAAAACCCACTCTGCTCAAACTCCCTTACTTTTCCTGAAATTGGTATTTTATTTTTTTCATTAACATAAAATAAATGTCACGTACCCCCTGCAGTACTCCAACGTACCCCTAGGGGTCCGCGTACCCCCATTTGAGAACCACTGCTTTAGACCCTGCAGCATCCTCTTTATTCTACAGAAACAAATCAACAAACCCAGCTGCACATCCAGCGTCAGACCGTCGTTGATATGCACGATCCGTATTTCAAACCAGCAGCGGTTGATTGTAGCCGGTTATAAAAGCATTTATAATCACGCTCCACTCCGAAGGCTATTATCTCCTGAAAGGAAGGGAGGATGAAAGACGTTTTGATGCGCTCTTTTCCACTGATGGTGGTGAATATTTATGTACAGCCGCCTTTGAATTCTGTGTTGTTCTGTGTTTGTCTCTTTGCATTTTGAATTGGAGGAATGAGCTGTCGTTGTTAGAGCTTGTGGATTGAATTGTGTTTCTTTCCCTCAGTGGACACACTCCTCTGATGGTGACGGGGACAAATCTGGACGTAGTTCAGGAGCCGAGGATCCGAGTCAAATACGCCGGGAGAGAGTCTGTCAACGTAAGAAACGACTTCTTTAATAATAAAATAATAAATAAGTTTATGATACTTAAAGGTTTTGTGCAGCACGATAATCTCCACATATTAACAGCACTTTATGATTTATGAAGTAAAAAGCTCACAACCAAAAACACATCCAGAAAACCCTTGAAATCCTGAGTCATGTTATGGTTTAAACCTCTTCCCATCACATTATGATGCTCTCTTTTGTTAAAGGTTGATCGTAATATTTATAGTTATTACAGGTATTTTTCCAAAAAGGACGTTACGTGTGTCATGGCTTTATTAGCTCTTACTAGCTTTCTGTCCTCCCGCTTAACCCTTAGATCCATAAGTGGGTCTTTTTGGAGCCGGTGAGGTGGTTTTCTTAGAGTATCTTTGTAATTACATTTTTTAATCATTTCATATTCCAGCTATTCCTCAAAAAACATGTTTTGGATATCATGCCATTCACATTTTCAATTTACATTTTAAGAAATTGTAGTTTTTGTATTTCTACCACAAGTGGGTCAAAAATGACACGCATGCATTTTCTATGGGAATTCGTTTTTTTTTCAAAATGTAATTTTTTTTTCTAAAATTATAAATAGTGAAAACTTGAATATAAAATATTTCTAGTGTGAACCAAAATATAATACTAAATATTATACAAGTGATTTTTCTTAAGCAAAATCACAAAAATGGCATAAAACCACATTATTCTAATACGGGTCCTTTTTGACCCACTTATGGAAGAGAGTAGGGTCCAGGCACTCTAAGGGCATCTAAGGGTTAAACACATTCACCACTCTATATAGAGAGTAGCATATACTCTTACTACATGCTGCACACTGCAAGCTAACAAGACCTGGCCAATTAATAATGCTACACAAGCATGCTAATTGATGTTTAGCTAAAAGAAGCTAACTCCCACCAGCGTCTGAATAATACCTCAAAAAGGTTCAGATTCGACCCGAACACGACGGGAGGTTTAAAGTCGTCCACCACAACACTTCTTACATCTCTAATGTTAGTCTTTCTGCAGTGATGTAAGTGGCTGGATGTGAGGAGAATGGTGTGAGGGGGGGGGCGGGGGTCTCTAATGGCTTTCAGTGGGAGATTAACTGCGGTCAGAAGTCTTCGGTCAGCATAAAGTGCATTAGTGTAATCAAAGTCTCGGTGCTGGGAAATCGTTACAAATTGCATTTTAGCCTCGGTCCCGGGGTCCATGTTTAATTAAAGGGAGGGGGTTTCTCTCTGTGGTCCGAGGGGGAGTAAAGGTGAGGAGGAGAGAGGGAAAGGGCTGGTCATCATTACAGCTAACTGTAACGACACAGCACAACAACTCTTAATAGTTAGTGAAGTCTTTTTGTGAGTTTTCTGGAGAGGTATTTCTGGAAAACACCACATCTGTTTTCAATAATGAAGTTCCCTTTAGCTCCCTTCAAAGCATTATATACATACATTTATAAAACATTATGTAGCAACAGTTCTATATTAGTTTATAACATTGTAATTCAATTTTTAATCGGATCAGAAAATCTGAAAAAGCACCATTTAAAAAGAAAAAGTTTGGAACAAGCCTGATTTTTCTGAGCTTGTGCTTATGGGAAAAGACGCAACAACCAATCACGTAATACGATACGATATACTATATTGTCCCCGTAAGGAAATGTGTTCTAATCTCCATCCTGCAGTTTCACATACATGTATACAAACATAGTTAACATTAAAACACATTAACATATTGTGGGGGAAACTTCTGAAGCAATTGGAGTCAGGACTCAGAGAGACACGAGGAGAGCTGGAGCTTTGATGGAGTCAGGACTCAGAGAGACACGAGGAGAGCTGGAGCTTTGATGGAGTCAGGACTCAGAGAGACACAAGGAGAGCTGGAGCTTTGATGGAGTCAGGACTCAGAGAGACACGAGGAGAGCTGGAGCTTTGATGGAGTCAGGACTCAGAGAGACACGAGGAGAGCTGGAGCTCTGATGGAGTCAGGACTCAGAGAGACACAAGGAGAGCTGGAGCTTTGATGGAGTCAGGACTCAGAGAGACACAAGGAGAGCTGGAGCTCTGATGGAGTCAGGACTCAGAGAGACACGAGGAGAGCTGGAGCTTTGATGGAGTCAGGACTCAGAGTGACACGAGGAGAGCTGGAGCTTTGATGGAGTCAGGACTCAGAGAGACACGAGGAGAGCTGGAGCTCTGATGGAGTCAGGACTCAGAGAGACACAAGGAGAGCTGGAGCTTTGATGGAGTCAGGACTCAGAGAGACACGAGGAGAGCTGGAGCTTTGATGGAGTCAGGACTCAGAGAGACACAAGGAGAGCTGGAGCTTTGATGGAGTCAGGACTCAGAGAGACACGAGGAGAGCTGGAGCTTTGATGGAGTCAGGACTCAGAGAGACACGAGGAGAGCTGGAGCTCTGATGGAGTCAGGACTCAGAGAGACACGAGGAGAGCTGGAGCTCTGATGGAGTCAGGACTCAGAGAGACACGAGGAGAGCTGGAGCTCTGATGGAGTCAGGACTCAGAGAGACACGAGGAGAGCTGGAGCTCTGATGGAGTCAGGACTCAGAGAGACACAAGGAGAGCTGGAGCTTTGATGGCAAACACTGACGGTTTATTTGGAGCTTCGGCCGGAGAATTCACAAGACATGTCACAGACCACGAGTTGACACAGGTTGAGATGCCACAATCAATCCTGAAGACCCCTCCTGTAGCTCCAGGTTTTAACTAGTTCAGAGTGTAATAACCAACATTCTTCAATAGATAGACTAAACATCTGAGGACACTGAATCACAGTTGTTGTCTCTTATGGCTCGGGGTCATCTACAGCCCGAGAAGGATGTGTTCCAAGTGTCCCACAACAATAACTATCTCTGACCGAGAGTTGCCCGGTCACAAACTGGTAACAACAACACAATGCTAGGGCAGCCCCTCCTTCAGGGAGATAACGGCTGCTCAAGGCTGGAGCATCTGCGTCAGAGGGCGAAAGATAAACATGTATGGAAATGATTCCCTGACACACATTATCACTCATACACCGTTTGAGCTTAATGGACAGAGGCAGGAACGACTGCTTTTAAAACAACACAGAGGCTCTGTAGTCCAAACAGTAGACTTTATTACTCGTTTCAGCCTCCATAGATGCAGCATCTACCCTTTCCTGCCAATAAAACATGTATTTTATTTGTTTATTTGATTCTCTAAAGAAAAACTGAATAAAATATTTGGCGGTATCTTAATGGTGGGGTAGGTAATTCACTTAAAAAAAACTTGTTATAATCCATGGAATGCTCTTAACATCCCGATAGCAATGAATATATGAAATGCTTTGACAATAAATACATAAAAACATGTCATCTGTGGAAGCCGTAGTGCTGTAAAAAGCACGACCAATCATCTGAGCCATCATCCATCCTCATTCTCCCGCTTATCCGTGGTCGGGTCGCGGGGGTAGCAGTTCCAGCAGAGAGCCCCAAACGTTCCTTTCCCCTCATCAACCAGCTCTGACTGGGGGATCCCAAGGCGCTCCCAGGCCAGAGAAGAGATATAATCCCTCCACCTGGTCCTAGGTCTACCCCTTGGTCTCTTCCCAGCTGGACGTGCCTGGAACACCTCCCTAGGGAGGCGCCCAGGTGGCATCCTAACTAGGTGCCCGAACCACCTCAACTGGCTCCTTTCGACACGAAGGAGGAGCGGCTCAACTCCGAGTCCCTCCCGGATGACCGAACTTCTCACCTTATCCCTAAGGGAGACACCAGCTACCCTGCGGAGAAAACCCATCTCGGCCGCTTGTATCCGCGATCTCGTTCTTTCGGTCATGACCCATCCTTCATGACCATAGGTGAGGGTAGGAACGAAAATGGCCCGGTAGACAGAGAGCTTTGCCTTCTGGCTCAGCTCCCTTTTTGTCACAACGGTGCGGTAAAGCGACTGCAGTACCGCTCCCGCTGCTCCGATTCTCCGGCCCATCTCACGCTCCATTGTTCCCTCACTCGAGAACAAGACCCCGAGATACTTGAACTCCTTCACTTGGGGTAAGGACTCATTCCCTACTTCATCATCTGAGCCGGCCCGGCTAAAGTAACTGGATGGCCTACCTGCCTGTCAGCCTTCCATCTGTGCACAAACTTATCTCGTGCCCTCATTGGTCATGTGCGCGTTCGTGTGTGTTGGAGGAGGGGCTCTGTGAGGAAGTCTGAAGGAAGGGGCAGATTTTTCGGTTGTGTATTTTCAAATTCGAGCGCACTCGAGCTGGTTTCTCCTTTCTTACCTACCCTACCTTTAAGCGTTACATCAACAGGATACCAAAATCATATTTTATTCAACAAGTGTAACTGTTCCAAACTCACATGGCTGCGGATTTGAATACATTTGATGCGAGTTTTTTGTAAAGGCCTTTAATTCTAACCCTGATAATTATCTGCCGACCCTGTGTGGGTGCTCCGACCCCCCACTGTGAACTCTGATCTATAATAACAGCTCTGTTTGACCACACACTGCTGCAAAGTACCCTCTGCACACACACGTTCCTTTATACGTTGGGTATAATAAAGTTAATACTTTTATGATTTCTGGATTTCTTAAAGAGACAGGAGCTTCTGAGATCAGCTGGTTTTATAGTCACAGATATGACTTTACTTATATCATGTCCTGTTATTGACTCCTCAGACATTGTGTCCTATCATTTCTCCAAAATGGAACGACGGTTAAATAACTGCAGCTATGTTCTTGAACTTTCCTAGAAATTAAGCCATGATACCAGATGGCACAATAATGTACGTGCTAAACACATGCAACACACATGTGTTTACTGCAGCGTAGAACAACTGGTACACAGTGTTGTGTACCCTAAAGTGAATAACTGGATAAGTTAAGAGTCCTGTTATTAACTCCTTGGACATTGTGTCTTCTAACTTCTCAGAAATGATACAGTGGTTAAATGCTGTTTTGCAATCTGCAGCTGGGATTATTAACATGTTTTTGAACTTTCGTGGCACGATGGTGCTGAAG